TCGATCAGCGGCCGGCTACGCGCCGTTGATCGCTTACTCTCGGTGGCACAGTGCATTTCCGCGTTCCCCGATCCAGCTCAGCCATCGCCGGTTTCCGCTCCGGAGAAAGAGAGATATCGTCGGAAACTTATCCCCGAGGTCAATCCACCCGTCCATCCGTCTTCGAGGCCTCGATCGAACGAGTTCTTCTCGGGCTAGTTCCTAGCCTGGTTCCATTTCGTTCCGCTTGCTCGTTTTCCTTTCTCCTCTCTGGCCGATCCGCAGCCGGCAGCTAGAAACATCCGAGCGAACGGACAACGAACGATTAGCCACGCGTCTCTAATTAATTCGCCGTAATCGGGCCTACTCCCGGCACCGCTGTCGCCCCGTTCTCAAACTCCAACCGCGGCGAACGGTAAAAATAGCGAAACCAGCGGTAGCCGATTCGACGTTCCTCGTTCCTTTCGAACGCCGCGCGGATCGTTTACGATCGTTCCGTTGCTCGTTTTACGCGGCGTCCGATCTACCGGTTCTCTCGGAGAACGGCACGGAAATGCTGGTACGCGGCGTTTATCTGGCGCGTTATCATTATCTCAAGGGTGTGGCCGACTCTTCGAGGCAGTCGCCGTTTCGAATGCTTCTCCGTTTCGATCGGCTCGGTCGCCGGGAACGACACCGCGGGGTCGAGTATCTCGGTGAACCGGGTCGCCCGGCCTTCCGACGTCCCTGAGAGAGTTTTCGGCTTGCATAACTAGACCTGATTCACCCGGCCGCCGGGCGAGATATCGCGCGATGCCGTAATACGTCTGTGAATAGAAGCGAAAATCGGGGGATCGGCGGGACCTGGAGTGGGAGGTGTGCAGAGCGGAGCGGGCATCGGAAGAGGAGTAGAAAAGGGAATAAAAGAAAGCGGAAGGGAAAGAAAGAGAGATACGCCGTGGCCGGGGTTCGGACTAACAGCAGGTGGTTGGTTAGCTTATACGCCTTCCCGGGAATCGGTTTAATATACACACGCGCACCAGTGTACCTGCCACCTTCCGACAGCGGCTACTCTCTCGTAGTCGCGAGCCGGGCATGCGGCACACGTAGCCCGTGCCCGGCGAGCGCGTCGAATGCGCGGCCCTATCGCGCAATTGAAGGAACGTAGCGCGAAAGCGCGTTACACTTAATACGATACCGGATGATTTATAACGCACGCGTGGCACGCGTGTAAGTTAACGATCGCATTGTAGCCGGCCCGTTTAAGCGCGACAGCGTGTCTTCTGGCCTGCGGATCGGAACGCGCTCGGACCCGGGTTTACGGCGATTCGTATCGCAACGTTGCCGCGCGAAACGCGGAGGCGCGATTTTTCTAGCGAACGCTCCCACTTGAACCGGCCTATCGAACCTACTCACCGGCGGGTCGCGATTGTTGGATGACTAGTCTCTATTTAGAGTGATTCGGTAACGATCGGGAAGTCGAGGAAGTTGCCGATCGTTTGCGGTCTGCCGGAATGACATAGGGGTTGCAGCAGTTTTTCGCTGTTTGTTATAGTTTCGACTGGTTATGCGTAAACGTATTGTCGAGCAGGAAATTGGCATTGTGAGAGAAATGAAGCTAAAGATGATTCCTGAAACTAGTCATCAAGTGATCATCCTACCAATGTAGGATGGTCCCCAGTGCGTGCTTGCGGTCAGCGTTGGATAGTTTGGGAAATAGGGTGATAGCGTTTAGAAAAGCTTGAGTGCCTGAAAGACTGTCGAAGGAGAGTGTTTAGGACCGAGTTAGCAATAGCATTAGTGTAATCCTAGTTATAGTTCATAAACTGCTGTTCTGTTAATCGAATCTGTATTCATTTCGTAATTGGGACTCGTCCGAGATTCTATTCCTACGCTACGTTTATTCGGGCATCCGACGCAACGATGCCAAGGGTAACGGAAACAGGGTCGCGTTCCGAGGGCACGGCACCTAAAATCTTTCCCAGCGCCCTTCCCCGCGGCACCGTCGCTCTCACGTTTCCCTTGCGCGCGGCAGACGGAATTTCATCGTGGAACGGACGAGTTCGGCAAAACGTTCGGTCCAGAAGGGGCCGAGGAGCGAGGGACCACCTGTCGCTCGATGTACACCTCGTGGCGGACTCCGTTCACGACGTCCGCGCGCGTACGTCACATCCCTCGAGTGTGTACCAGCGCGTGTGTATATATATCCCGGACACCATATACGTCACGCATAATATTCGCGGTTCGATCAAACTTGACGCGCGTCGGTATTTGTAAACCGGTAAGACGGGTAAGGAGCCCGTACTCCTTTCGAGGGGGTATTTTTCTTTAAATAGTCCCCGATAATACCTACGACCGGCGAATAGTGTAACGCGTAACGGCACACGTAGCGATTCGGTATCCTCGGTATGCGCGGCGAACCGAATGGAACTGACACAGACTGCTGCGATTAGGGGGAAGGGATACGAAGGGCAGTGTTTCGTCCGAGATCTAACTTTGAACTCGTCGCCAAGGCTGATAGATTGTTACTCTAGACGAGAGGATGGTGTACAGAGTGTTACCTCTAACGATTTTTCGTCTACAAGTTTACAAGGATTGTAAGGTGTAGAGTGTAGAATAGATTCTTCAGTCGCGAGAGCAGATGTTGCAGAGCAACGAAACGCTGTTCGTGGTGTTTAGGACTAGAACCAGCTAGAACCAGCCCCTTTCCGTTATTAAAATATTTCCCGTGGTCCGCGTGCGTGACCAACTTTCCCTAGGATCGTTGATCCTTCACGATTACATCTGAGATGGACTGCCTCGTGTCACGCGTTCCCGGCCGTAGGGAAACACGAGGCTGCAGTGATCGTGTGGTCAATGTGTAACTTGACCCTCGTTACTCGAATGGTCCTCTGGAACGAGTCGTTAGAAGTAGACGCCGCTGCAGCCTCCGTCGAACGAAATTCCGAGAAAATCTCGAAATCACTCGGCCGGAATGGGATCTCCTTCCGAATCGTTACGGTGTCGGAGCGGATCTACGTTTCTCCGGATAGATCCGTTACCGTTAAACCCGGCCAGCCGGCAGCGCGAGAAGACAATAATTACAGGTAGCAGCGGCGCGTTACGTCGCTCGGCCGTGCGTCCCAGAAAACTCTGCGGCGGCGATATATCGATGTTGATGTCGATGACGTCGCGCGGTGTACTAGGCGTAACACGATTCCGTTCGAGGCGGTTTCTCGAATTAAGGCCGGCAACGCCTCGAATTTTACAACAACTCGGTCCTTTGTTCGCGTCGCGTCGAACGATCCGGTCGGGCCCGAACGCGCGCGCGTCCTCCTCGGTTCACAGGATCGTCGCGCCGCCCGGTACGCCGCGTTTCACTCGCGTCGACTCTCGGGGCGAGAACCGAGAGCCGAGAGTGCAGGACGCGTGAATGAAGCGGCGGCTACGCACACGCCGTTTCCAGGCCGTGTAACCCGAACTGAAAGTTACTCGGTCTGGCCGGGTCCAGCCGTGCCTGCCTGGCCCAGCCTGGCCCGTCCACCTTTCTCTCTCGCGTTGCATCGCGCGTCCGGGGCAGACTCGGGCGCGAGCAGCACCGCCGACGCTCGCCAGCTGTACCGAGGCCTGCTCGAAGGGAATGCGGCCTGCCGGCACGTGCTTCCTCGCAGATTTAAATATCCCTACCACGCAGTCTGTCCGCGCTGTCCTCGAAAATCCCGGCGAATCCTCTCTTTTCCGCGCGCGCGAGTCGCATTTCCCACGGCGCGCGTTCTCCCCCGATCCTCGGCGAGTCCGCCGCGGAGGCTCGGCCTCGCCGCACGAAAGTCCGGCTTCATTTTTCTATGTCGCCGGTCTCGAACATTTAATTACACGCTCCCGACGTTATAATCCGTCGCCGTCGCGGCAAAAAATCGCTTGATGTAAAAGCTGCTCGATACAAGTGAAACGTTAGCCCGAAATTATGGGGGGAAGACACGGGAATTAAAAACGGCGCTGACATTCGAGTATGAATTATTAATACTCAGCGGTGGCTCGACCGGCGGCTGTCTTCGATCGTCTCCTCTCCTCTCGCGCGCCGCTTCCCACGCGACGCTCGCGAGCTCGCGCTTCCCTCGTCGATCGAACAAAGAGATCCCATTTCTATTACCGCGATAAGGATAACGCGCGCGCTCGCGCGAGCGCGTTCCCCTCGATTTCTCCGGCGTTTCTCGCGTTCCCTTTTCGCCGTTCGAAAGTAAACGCAGCGTTTCACGCGGAAACGCGTCGTGAACGCTCGGACGGATCGGTCGGCGGTGAGGCGCTCGAGTCTACGTACGTGGAAAGTTCGGAGGACTCGGGTCGGCTCGGAGCGCGTTGAGGCCATCACCGGTGATCGGCGGACGAGTGCGTGGGTAAAAGTACCGTGGCATCGTGCCACGGTTCGCGAACGCGCGGGGGGGCCCGCGATGTCGAGAGGGGCCCGCATTCGTTCTCCGGGCCCGAGGAATACGTTGGAAATGCCGAGGATTCGCTATCAGATATTCGTTACTCACATCGGGCCCCCTGTCGCCCTCCCGGGTCCGCCGGCCGGCTCGTTCTCTCTCTATCCCGTCCGACATCGGACTCCTCTCCTTCGCGATCCGCACATGTGTTTCGTTTGTACACGGCATGTAACGTATGGGCCCCGCGTTATTTATCATACAGCCTTAGCCGCCGATCGCGAATGGGATGTACGCCGCATTCAACAGGCCGTCCAGGCTTACCACGCTGCCTAATCATGTTAATTTTACCACGACGACATAAATTAAACCGCGAGAGCTCGACCTATTCGTGGATCGTTTTATTTCGCCGATCCCCGAGCACGGCCGATTTTCGTTCCTCGTCTCTACCGCGCCGTCGGCCCTTCTCCCTCGCCCCGTCCATTGTCGTTGTCTTCCAATCGTCCCGAGGAGCTTGTCCGAACTCGCGGGGTGTTCGAACATCCTCGGCGAACGATAAGCTCGAGTTTTTCGAGGCGAGCATTTCTCGTTCCGCGCGGAGTCCGTTCCTCTTCGGCTCCGGGGAATCTCGAGGGAGTTGCGGGGATTGCACCGTTCCTCCGCCTCTGCCCGACAGGATCGCGAAGGAGGAACCGTCGGTTAATGAGGACTCGGAGGTAGCCGACTAACGGATAGACGGCCGGGAAGATCGGCAACGGAGAGCAGCCGAGAAGGGCAGAGATCCGACCGACTGGCTATCCATATTCCGTCCCGCCGAATCGGACGGGCGAACCTGCTTTTTGCGGGCAGGTTTCGCTTGCACTTGCCCAAACTCATTTGTCAATTCTCGGCGGTGCTCGCTCGACGCGGCGCGCCGATCGGTTGTTCCGCGCCGTGGGACCACGGAACTGGAAATCGAGTTTTCCCGCGTCGGGAGAAATCGCGCGATTTCCTCGGCGTCCGCCGGGGGACTCGAGCTGCGCCCGACTCGAGTTTTCGAAAGGTCCGCGAAGGTCCTTTTATGCCGGCGTCGAACGACCGACCGGCCTTCCCGCCGCTCGGGGCTCGAGATTTTTGTCCCGGTGAAAAAGCGAGAAAGACCCGCTGAAATTATCTTGGAATTTTACGATCGCCGTTGTGTATTTCTGCGGATCAGACGACGGAACGGAGGTGTCGAGGAATCCCAGTTATTTAAGGTCATTGAAATCCGCTTAAGCGGAGTTTAAGGAACGATCGAAGCGCCATGTGGTCGTCGTCGCCGCCGCCGCCGAGATTAAAGTAATTAAAACTGGAAACGAACGCGCGGGCGCGAGACATCCTTGTCCGCGTAACGCCCTCCAAGGTGAACGACGCGCGGATCGTTCGCCGGCCGACGAGAAAACTGGAAAAAGAGGCGCTAGGCGGTCTCGGCGCGTCATCCGCGGAAATGAAGTTAATTTCATGGACGCCGTGGGCTCCGCGCCGGGCTTTTTGCACCCACGCTCCCTCACGGGCACGCTCATTTGCCGGTGCAGCGCGTAATAACGATCCCGATAGTGAGTCATGAGAAATTCGAAAGACGAGAAGTCGCCTCCGACTCTATTATTCCCGTCCGGGGCCCCGCCTAATCCGCTCTTCGTTGTTTGCCCCGTTCCGCGTCGTCGGCTACGAGGATGGCTCGGCGAACGAACAGGCGGACCGGAGAAATTAAGATAATTGGCTCCTCTCTCCCGTTCGATCCGTCGAATCCGGGACCTTGGGAACGCGTCTGGAAAATAAACTTTTCAGGAACGTCCCCCGCCCGAGCTTCTTCCCTCCGGGACCACCTTCTTCGGTGCACCTGGCGCCGAAAGGTGCGCTCACGAATTCCTTCACTTCCGGATTTACAGTTCGTTCGCTACGAGAACGGCCAGGATTCCCGACGCGAGAGCCGTCGTCGTATCTCGTCTCATCTCCGTCCCCGAATCGAGCCGCGACAGGTCGAATTCAAACATTCGGACGAGAGATAGGCGCGACCGATCCGGGAACGAGGCTCAGAGAAACAACGCGGACAGAAACCAGGACGAGAGAGGCTAGTTTATCCTAAGTAGGAGCAGCGCGAGACGACGGATGGAACGAGACGGCGGGAGAGGGACGCGGGATCGCAGGCCAGGCGCGCCGGGGCCGATAGCACGCTCTAACGCGAAAAGGAGACTGGCGTTCTCGATTTTGCCTCCTTTAAAGGAACCCGGTTGGTTTTATTAGCTGCTCG